ATTTTCATTCTAGCGTAAACTAGTCCATTCAACTTTATTTTCTATGAACTCTGATTTGTTGTTGTGTCATAGGTTTAGTGGGCTTTGGAGAGTACTATTAAAGCTGCATCATAATATGCTTAAGCTTCTGTGTTATTTTCTCATTCATTATGGTTCCTCTTGCCTCTTTTGCTTAGCATTCGGGATTCTGTTTACTCCTATATGCATTCCTTTTATCTATTTTCAATTATTTACCTTTTGTGAGTAGTATTAACTCGTTATTGCTGAAGATCTATATGGAATAATCGATTTGATGGCATTTGCGTGGTCACATTGTTTCATTCCTTGCTTTAAAATAACGTTATTGTTTACGTTTTTGATCACGCCCAGAGACCATATTAAGTAACTACTAGATGCACTTGCCTCTTTTCATTTTCTGACGACTGAGTGAGGACTAATTTTGTCTCTTCCTCCTCTCGGCACAGCCACGTCGAATAGCAGCAATATCGGTAGCGCAGCGCGTCGCGGATGAGATGGGTCGCGGTGGGGTGGGGGTTGGTCCAGTTGGCTACTGTGTGCGATTTGAAGATGTCACTGTACCAGGGTTGACTCGTCTGCGCTACATGACCGACGGTATGCTGTTGCGCGAGGCCTGTCTAGATCCCACTCTCTCTCGGTACTCTATTGTGATTGTTGATGAAGCACACGAACGCACGCTTAACACGGAAGTGCTACTGGGAGTGGTACTTAACGCCAGCAAAAAACGGGCAAACTCACCTAAGACTCTCAAAGTAGGTTCTGTACTTTCCAATTGGTGGGCTGCTCATCACCTTCCCTACTGTGTGTTGTACCGCTTTTTGATCTAAATTTTTTTAACCCACTTCTATCAGATATTTGCAGATATTTGAGTCTTGGTTTAGTGTGCTATTGCATGATATCATGGGCAAACAATGACACGACTTTTGAGTCTTTCAGAATTATGGCAGCAGATGTGTCAATGAACAATAGATTTCCAATAGTTCATTCCATTTTCTGATTTTGGCGTATCGTATTTCTTCTTGGCTAGATTATCGTAATGTCCGCCACAATTAATCCCAGGATATTTGTTGATTTCCTCGATCCCTCAAGAACTCGAGTAGTTTACATGCAAGGACGGCGGTTTCCCATTAGGATTTTAACCGCTGACAAACCCTCCATTGACTATGTCTCTGATGCTGCATCCACTTGCATTCAGGTAGGTAGGTTTGATGTTCCTCTCTTAAGCGCTCCTTTTACCAGATGCATAGTGAACCGACGTGTCCGCCTGATCGCGGTTTCCTCATCTTTTTAACGGGAGAGGAGGAGATTACACGATGTATTAGTCTCATCCGTCGTCTTTATAAAGCTCTATTGGAATCTAAGAAGTCGTCAAGCAAGGCCTCTACGAATGATGTCACATCGTTGCCTCCTCGACTCTCTGTTTTTCCCCTCTTCGCAGCCCTTCCCCAGACGCAACAATTGAAAGCTCTGACCTTTAGTGAACAAGTAAGCGTTAACTTAAATCCGTTCCCTATCTTCACCTCTCATTTTTCTACTTAGGGTACTCGGAAAGTAATTGTAAGTACAAATATTGCAGAGACTTCCATTACCATTCCAGGCATCCGCTATGTGATTGACTGTGGAAGGGCGAAAACCTTGTAAGTGTTATTTCTTATCTACATATTTTTTGCTAGAAGTTTAAGTAACTTCTCAACCATCACAGGTTGCGTTCGCTATTTAGCAGTCACTTTCTGACCGTAGGAAATATGGGCTTTTAGTGGTGGTCTTCCGGCACATTTGGTGTGGTTAAACCAGCCCGGAAAATCTAGCTTCTTTACATTTGTCAAAAGTCTGAAGGTCTTCCGGTACTCGACTTGAACACCAAGCCTCAACGTTGCTTACGTTTTTTATGCGTTTATCAAGTGGAAATAGAATAATCGCGGGGCGCTGTTGCTGACATTGTTATAACAGGCTGCCTTTGAACTGCTGACATTTGGTTAGACGACCTATTGTTGAGCGATTGAAGTCTATGAGGTGTATATTCCCAATATTGTTCCTTCAAATTTGGTACTGCTGTCATGAAAAGTGTAATTTCAGTGTCCGGAGAGGCCAATTTTCACCACTTGAAACTTGGCGAAACATTACCAGAGTGATCGTAAAACTAACCCAGTATCTTGGATGGGTAGCACTTTCTCCTCTCTTATTTGCTATTCGAATTCCCTCTTTGTGGGGGCGAAATTTTCCCTGCACACCCTTATGTTCTTTTATTTACCACGTCAATCATCGTTTTTACGGGAGAAAAATTGTGTTTACGATTCAAGGCACATCGAAATAACAATTGTATCTTTATGCGGGCAGAGTATCACCTTTGAAGTACGAATTATGCCGTAGGTTTTCATTCCTTCGCTTAGTCAGGCAGCAAGGTGTTCTATTTAGTTGCTTAATTGGGTTCATCTGTTAGTGTGTATGAACCTCTTATAACACTTGTCAAACATGTCTGAAGGTTTTGGTACGACTTAAGAAATGTTTGCACCATCTGCTAGATGAATAGCCTTTTTGTCCAATGATTAAATGGTCCCTTCGGTTCAGAGCTTTTTCACAACACAATGTTTTGCATTCATCTACTAGATTGTGACGTCATAGAACTCACCATGGAGCACCACCAAGTTTCATTTAATGGAATGATCAGAGCCATCATAAATTGAATCACCTTGCTTTCTTTCTGCGGTGCTATTGGAATACTGAGTCTTTGGGTGGAGGTGGTTGTTCTGACGTGTCTGACTGTACGGCCGTCGGTAGAGTGCCATGTCAGCCTGTAGCGCATCGGGGAAAGCTCTATTTCAGGCGTCCTATTTAGCTATCCTTTTGCCTACTCTATGTATGTATACAATCATCCTAGAGACTTGTCAGCAATCATGGGTGCAGATTTAACTGTCAGTTTTCGATATTGGAAAGACTGTTACTCGTTTGAATGCGTCAGCGAATCTCTACACTTGTCCGTTAAGTTGAGGTGAAGCAGTGGAAGAATATTTAGTTGCGTTTTGACAGGATTTATGGAGCTTCCATTAAGTTATGTACTGTTGTCATTGCCTACCATTTTGACACAGCAAATATAGCACCTTAGTGGCATTAAGATGCGATAGTAACTAGGACTTCCATGGCTGGGGCCAATATATCGGTGAGGTTCCTAAGGCATCTTGGACAGAATGACGCAACTGTAAAGCGCCCGAAAACCTGTGTTGCACACTAACGTAATAAATTGATGCA